GCTGCTGTGAGTACTGAGACCGACCGACAACATCTGACAACATCTCGGAGAGGCTCACGGCTGTCGTAAACACTCATGCTCTATGAGCAAACTGGATAACATCTCGGTATGGATGGATAACATCGTGGAGAGGCTCACAGCTCTCCAACAAAAGACCTGTGACCAGTGACGGACATTAGACAACTGTAAAATTGGAAGCAGTTTGTTCGCACTAACCAAAACAGCTACCATCTTCATCTCATGCGGCCCCCTGGCGCCAGCTGGATGCTCAAGGCAAAAACTGACAGGAATAACAATTCTCCCTTAGATAACAAGACCGTGTTGTGACTTTCTCCCTCCTCTTTCAAGGCCACCCACGTCGACCGAGGACTGTTGACTTTTGCCTAACTGGGTGAAGGGACACTTTCCCACCCCCTCCAAACGCCTTCAAAGCTTATGTCTTCTACGTTGTGAGATGTGCGGATTCATGTGCTGAGATGTTTTTTTCTGTTCTCAAACTGATCTCCCTGTTGGAGCTCAGTCTGGGGGGGAGTTATTTTTTCTTCTTGTCTTTGCTCATGTTGTGCATTTTCCATTGTTATACCTCTCTGACCTGCCTACCCCATGTGATGTTTGTGTAATGTATGTATGGTCGGAAGGGTAAGATGGCGCTGGCACGACTGGCAGCCTTAACTCAATTTCCCTCGGGATGAATAAAGTATTATCAATCAATCAATCAATCAATCAAATAAAAGCACAAATTTCAACAATGTTTATTATGGATGGTATTTTAATAATAAAATACGAATGAAATGTTCTTTACTCATTTCAAGTTTTGAGTTTGCATTGAAAAATTACACCAAAAAAAAGCTTTTGAGAAGTTTCAATTAAAAAATAATGAAAATGTGTAGTCTATCCAGCCACCCATCAATTGTTTTCTGTGGTCCGTCTATTGGTGACTTAGGCTCTTAATCATTCTGTGCCTTTCTTTCTCACTTGCAGGAAATCTTCCCGGTATATTTTGGCTCAAAGTACGACGCAGCACTAGAGATGCTGGTGTGGGAGTTCATATCCAGACTGGAGGAGCTGCTGCCCGTCCCAGACTTCACACAGGTGCTGTGTATCTTTGTGCTCATCCGTGCCAGGCGTCACTAGCCTGTTGCCTGATAATGATTGTTACATGACACTTCAGCTCTGTTTTGTCTATCCCGCTTAACTGTATAAATGTTAACATGTCCAGATTGGAATTACATTAAGAGACATTTAGCGCTACTGTGGAGACAGCATCACGTGAACATGTGAATTTAGTGTTGATTAGTTTTGCATGTTTCTTCTTTTTTTTTTTAAACCTGTTGTAGTTGTGCATCATATTAACACAGTGCACCTTATCTGTCTCCACTGGCACGTTTCCAAACTGAACAGCCATTAAAGGCTGACTGGAGCACAAAGACTCAATCCTGGGCCTCAGCTGTCTGTACCGCTGTGGAGAAAGGAGGGTTAACAGGGTGCACGCTCACCAGGGCCTCCCAAAAGGCTCATTCCCTTTTTAGTACTGAGCCACTAGAGAGAAACACTAGAGCAAAGCTAAATTAGAAGCAGTCCAGAGTATTAGAAATACACGTGTTCACATCAGCTATATTTAATTACATGGATCACATATTCTAGCATTAAGTCTCTTCAAATGAATTGAAATTCTCTATTTAATTCTATGATATAGATCGTTTTGGCTGTATAAACAAGTAATTTAACTAATACAATAAATAATTGCAGAATTACTAAAAAATAATACCTTGATTTTTCTTTCAGTTGGCCGCCTTGCTCAGAGACACTCCGTCATTCCTAGACGACTGTTTGCAAACCCTTTTCCCCCCGGAGGACATGAAGGCTGTACTTGAACACCACAGAAACCTCGGCCATTTTAAAGAGAAAGGTACTGCGGGCGCGCACTGGTGGGAGATAATTGCACTTCACCGTGTCCTGAAACGTGTCGAGAGAAAGGCTCGTAGCTCAGCGGCACTGGAAATGTGGCGCGAGGGCGTTCTGAGATTCATAAATTGAAAATGTTATTTACAGGTAAAATATTCATGCTTACTTTGAACTCATGTTGTGCGAGTGCTGTCACAGGAGTGCTATGTTTTTCTCGCCATTAATTTTGCTACTTAATTCCCCGTACTTCCTAAATTATGAATCCCAAAGCCTTGTCATAAAAAAAAAAAGCTCGCTGGAATTTGTGTCATTCAGTTTTATTTATGCAAGACGTAGTTATTCTCAAGGCGCTTTAGAGTCTGCGGTAAAGGCTTTACACTATTATAGAGAGACGTCCAGTCCCTTTGTGAGCAAGCATTTGACAACAATGGAGAGAAAAAACATCTCTTCAACAGGAAGAAACCTCCGGCAGAACCAGGCCCCGAGAGGACAGCCATCTGTCGCCATCAGCTGTTGGGGAGGGAAAGCCAGGAGAGAAAAGTAGAGCAAAAAGAGATCACAAAGAAATGCCTAAACAGCCAGTTTCTGTTTATGTCAGTTGGAGTGTCTGACAGCTTTTTTATTTGTGTTTAAGTTGAACCAGAGCTTTAATAACGGTCTAAACGCTTAATTGTAGATCCCAGATTATTACCCATGGATGACTGCATCCTCACCTCCCTGTCACTGCCTCCTGGGACCAAAACTGTCATGGAAACAGCCTCCCGCTCACCTGCTCTCAAAGACTCGGACCACAAAGGACTTCTCAGCGCTCCCGTCAACGCAAGCAGCACGGAGAAGTCGAGGAGGAGCTCTGAGCCGATCAGGCAAGGACCGAGGGAGACGAGGGACTCTGGCAGTTGGCAGCTGCAGGCTAGAGCTGGAAACATTTCTCAGGAGAGGAAAGTACAAAACATAATTAGCACACTGCCATGCGACGAAACCATAGACCTCACTACATCCAACGAGACTGCAGACACGGATTCAGAAGCCAGTGAGAACAACCAAAGCTTGAGGGCAGCTCGCATTCTCAGGAAGAGGAAGCTGAGCGGAGGTGTGGACGTTCCCACAAAGCAGCAGGAGGCTTCAGCTTTCTTGTAAGGTTTCCATATGTTAATATATGTTTTATTCATTCGTTGCTAACGAACGGTCGGCATCACATGTTTGCGTCTATCCATAACTTTATCTGTTTGATCAAAGTCATGCTAGGATGTAGGTCTGCTGGTCCGCCTTTAATGTTCGGTTCAGACTGAAATCTCTCCCCAGGACGTAAATGATTTCCTATTAAATTTTCAGCAGATGTCTACACTGCAGAGAGCGTGAATACTAATATAGAGTCATTATTTATTTAACAAAAAAAAGAGCCAAACTAGAAGAATAAGCAGTGTGTAAAAAAACTAAGTACAGTGATCCCTTGTTTATCGCGGTAGTTGCGTTCGAAAAATAACCAACGTTAGGTGAAGTCCACGAAGGGGCCAACTTTATTTTTTCCAATTATTATAGATCTTTTAAGGCTGTAAAAACCCCTCATTACACACTTTATATACTTTTCTCAGACAGGCATGAAGATTTTCACGCTTTCTCTCTTGTTTAAATGCTCTCAAAGTTCAAACCTTCGTAGAAAAATAAGTCCAGTGTTATAAAATGAAACCAAAGATCAAACCCTGTTTTCAGGGCCAGAACATGGGAATAGAGCAGCTGCCAGAGAATTCAACATTAATGGATCAATGTTATGGAAGTGGAGGAAGCAAGAAGAATGAGTTGAGTAAAGTTTATCTGACTGTTTTGTTTCGCTTAATGCTCCTTATAATTCGGTGTGCCTTATGGTCCGAAAACTTCTACCTTCCTTTAGCATGTCCAGAAGTCCAACTTTTTGTGCGATGGTTAGCATCTTCCTCTGCCTTTTAGGTGCTACTGCAGATGCCTTTGACGGTGCAAAACGTTTCGTCGACATTGTGTTGGGGAGAAAACTTACAAACAGTACAGCACTTCAGAGTCACACTGCTAGCGATCGAAGATTTATGTACATTTGACAACCTGAACACATTCTGTACTGTACAGGAGACAGTGCCTCTAGGAGAGAGTGGTCTACAGCCGATCAGGACGCGGAACACAATGCGCTGTAAAAAAAAACCAACAACAACAGCGAGGCCGTGAAAAGGTGAACCGCGTTATAGCGAGGGAGCACTGTACACCTTTACCACTTGCTTGGGTCAGTAGCATCCAGTTGCTGCTCATCAAATGCACTTAAATAACTGATCATCAGCAGTGATCTTAGAGAAGAATAGCAGCTAGCTGTCAACCTGCAAAGGGTAATAAAGCAATTTCCAAACAATTTGAAGCCATCGATTTAAAGTGAGGAAGATTATTTATTAGTGGAAAACGTTCAGGACACTTACTAATCTTCCCTCATTCGAGTTGTCAAGCACGGTGGTGGCGAGGTGATGTTTTAGGCATGTTTTTTGTTTCATTTCTTTTCACAGAAAGCTGTGCATAAATGAATGAACTGCAGCAAAGCTATAAAAAAAAAGAGTGGTCCAAAATTCCTCCACAGTAATATGAAACATTGATAAAGTCACACAGTGTTGTTGGTAATGGTGGTTGAATCATAGAGTGCAATTCATTTTTTACACCCTCCTTCTGCATTTCAGCTAGGACAGCGTTAAATAAATCATTACATTTGATGAGAAAACGGTTTGTAAGCGAGCAACTCCAATCGTAGTTTTTTAACCTTTGCAGGGAGTCCTCAGTGGATGATGAGAATTCAGGTGAATCTCCTCTCATCTCCATATGGGGAGATTATACAGGTGTGTGCAGTTTATACATGGTCTCAATCTAATATTTGGTTTTGTATTTCTAAGCATAGCTTTAACTGAGTCTTCGTGTTTCATTTCAGACTCTCAGGAGGGCTCTTTTCCAGTTGTAACGGACACAAAGGTTCCCTGGTCGGATGAGGAGACGCTCCATCTTCTCGACATCTGGGGGAAGGACTCTGTGCAGCGAGCTCTGAAGGGCTGCTTGAAAAACCGCCACATATTCACCCAAATTGCACAAAAGATGGCAGAGAGGGGCTACATGAGGACAGTGGAGCAGTGCCAGACGAGGATCAAACGACTGAAGAAGTGCTTCCGTCAGAACAAGTGGGCATTTAACGACACAGATTTTGAAGCTCTCGCTGACGTTTGTCAGATATGTTCACTGATCCTGTTGTTTTCTCCCTGATCTGTCGCCGGAGGGAACTCCAGGCTGGAGCATAAATTTTACACACAGCTCGATCAGGTCCTCGGCTCGTCGGCTTCCTTGGCCGTTCCTGAGATCACCTACGACGTTGAGGAAATTATCGATGAAGACGAGTCCCGAGACGGTGATGATGACTTGCAGTTTGTCGGACAAACGGGCCATCTGGAAATTGGTAGGAGGTCACATATTTGTACTTAAGTTTAACTCTTGCAGCACAATTGTTAGTGACATGAACAGCTTTTCTGTCTTTTAAGGCTTCATACAATTTTGCATCTGAAAGAAATGCTAAGGATTACAGAATTTTTGCCAGTGCAGATAAAAAGGAAGTAAACAGATACAGTTAAATGTAAAAAAAAAAAAAACTCAGAAAAAGCCATTTTTTAATTCCACCATACTCTGAAAGAGTCTTAAATATACTATTTAAAACTAAGTTTACTATTTTTCCTCTGACTCGTAATGCTGTGTGTCCGTCCAGTCTTTGAATCCAGATGTTTTAAGTCTCATTGCTACAGTGGTATAAAATCATGCACAAAGCCGTGCAGGCTGCCATTGCAAACATTTGTGAAAGAGTGGGTTGATCTAAAGAGCTCAAAGAATTCAATAACAATAATAATAATAATACATTTTACTCAAGGGCGCCTTCAAGAAACCCAAGGTCACCTTACAAAAGAACAAAATTAATAAATGGAGCAATAGTCATAAAATACATCAAATAAGTTCACTTCTCTGGCTCTTGACGAAGGCGGTCGCCCTCTCCCTTCCCTTATCTTTCCTGCTTGGCTTTCTCATGTTTCTGTCTAGTCTTGTCTGCTTCTCTCCCTCTACCCTGGAAGAGTCTCACAGTCTGTTCTCTAAAACCTAAAAGAGGAATTATGGATTTGATCAACTGGTCCCTGAATGCAATTGACACCCTCTTCTCGACGAGAAGCCTGGGTTCAGGAGAGCCCATTGAAGACATCTACCTTTTTGGAACCATGACAACAGGGTTCTTGCTGATCGGCCCTGGCTTGGCCCCGGCTTATCGAAGAATAAAGAAAGCGGAAACAGCTGTTCAAATCCCCACAAGGCTGCCCGCTATCTTGACTGCAACGATGGAGCGAGCTTGTACTTAAGTTTAACTCGGAGAAGCTTGCGGGTGCTGTGAGTACTCTGACAACATTGCGGAGAGGCTCACGGCTCTCCAACGGGAATGGCGAGGAACCGGTAATGGACATTAGACCGACTGTAAAATTGTCATGCAGTGGTTCGCACTAAAGCAAGAACACCACCATTATTTCATGCGGCTACCATATCGGCGCCGGCTGTGGTCTCAAGGCTGGTTTCTCCCCTGATAACAAACTGTGTTTAGACTCTTCGTTCCAAACGCCCTCGTACGCTTATCTCCAAGGTCGAGTCGGACGGCCGGTCTGGGCCCAGCGCCGGAAAGATAGCGGCAGGGCAGGATGGCTGTGTCTGCATCGGCTTACTTCTCACCCCTGTTGCTTGTCACGTGCTTCGTGATGTTGTGATGTGGACATTTATGTGCTCTTTGTGACTTGCCCATTGTATTGTACATTTCAGTGTTTTTCCGTAATACTACCGGTCTCGGACCTGTCTCCCCATGTGATGCCTGTGTTGTGTATGTAAGGTTGGGAGGGGATGCAGGGCATCCATTTCGATGCAGGGCAACTTGCAAGTGACAAATAAAGGCTTTGTTGAACTTGAACTTGAACTCTTGAAAATTGCAAAACAGAACTTGACAACGGATAAAATCAGCACTAAAGCAAATAAGCCAGTTTGAACAGATGTGTTTTGAGCTTTGACTTAAATACACGAAGGGAGTCTATATTTCTTATGGCTGGAGGAAGAGAGTTCCAGAGGCGAGGAGCAGAGCGACTGAAGGCTCTGTTCCCCACAGTGATAAGACGTGCAGACGGGACAGTAAGATGAATAGCAGATGAGGATCTGAGAGGGTGGGAAACAGTAGTGATCTGAAGCAGGTCACACAAATAGGAAGGAGGAGATTTATGGATACACAAGTAAGATTTATCCTGGCGTCTATGGGTAACCAGTGAAGCTGCTGAAGAACTGGGGTAATATGAGCCAAGACCCGAGCTGCAGAATTTTGAAGAAGTTGGAGTTTATGAAGGGACCTTTTAGGGAGACCAAATTAGAGGAACGTAATCGATACGGGACGCAATAAGACTATGGACAAGGATGGCAACAGCATGGGGAGTAAGGAAGGGACGGCTTGGGTTTCCATTAATATTACGTAATTCAAGCGTGATGGTGTAATAGGATGCCTCTGTTGCCTTTGTTGAAATTTCTTCCCTCCTAGATATTCCACACTCAGCTATTAGTGGTATTATTTCAAAGTGAAAGCATTTATTAACAGTAGCAAATCAACCACAAAGTGGCAGAGCATGTGAGGTAACAGAGTGGGGTTGTTGAGTGCTGAGTCCATAATAGTCGCCCATACTCTGCTAACTTAATGTCTGCATAGTCCAAACGTTCTCTAACATCAGCACAGGAACTGTGTATGGGAGCTTCATGGCTTGGGTTTCCATAAATGGGTAGCCCCTGCAGGTGCAATGTGGAGGTGGTCCAGTACTCTTGTCCACATCATACGTAGAGATGTGTCCATTTTTTTGGACACAGTATTGTTTTGCTCAAAATGGAATTAATACTTCTGACAAAATCCTGTGATTTGTTATTTTAGGAACGAGAAGCGTTCCCTGGACAGACTTGGAGACCTTGGCCCTGATCAACACATGGGGCGAAGATAAGATGCAGCAGGAGCTGAGGGGAATGCACAGAACCGGGCACATTTTTTCCATCATATCCAACAAAATGGCCACACAGGGTTTCTCCCGGACGCCAGAGCAGTGCCAGACGAGGTTAAAAAGGCTGAAATCGAACTTCAGGCAGTGCTACCAAAACAAGTATGCGTGCTCGGAGTGGAAAGAGTAAAAGAAAAGTTTTCGATTTGTAGAGCTAATATCTCTGCTCTTTTGTTGTCTGCACTGTAGCCTGAAAGGACAGGAGCAAGTTCAGTGCAAGTTTTACAACGAGCTGGGAAGAATTCTAGTGAAAGACTTCCCTTCAGTTCCACAGCTGGAAGAAATACCAGGAGAACCTGAAGAACGCGACTTTCCTGCCTACACTCATCCAGACATGGGTAAGCTCAGTTTCTCTGCTCAGGACGACCGTTTAGATCAGCGGTCCCCAACCCCCGGGCCTCGGACCGGTACCGGTCCGTGAGTCGTTTGGTACCGGGCCGCGAGAGTTGAGGCTCAGGTGTGAAATGCATGGTTTTCAAGGTTTTTATCAGTTTTCAGCGTTATTTTTTTATCGTTTTTATCATTAACTCGGTTTTCCTGGGTCTTTTCACGTGTGTTATGAATAAATCTTCTTTTTTTCAGTACCGGTACTAGTTTTATTTTGTTGTATTTATCCGCGACACCTTAAAGGCCGGTCCGTGAAAATATTGTCGGGCATAAACCGGTCCATGGCGCAAAAAAGGTCGGAGACCGCTGGTTTAGATAAACAGCCTGCTTCCCAATTTGTTTGCACTGATTGGCTATTGTGTGGTCGAGACATGAGCTGACAAGGAATCTATTGAGCTCATTGGTCCTTTTGGGCAAAGAGCCAATGACAATCACTACTCTTCAGTGAGTGTTGGTAAGGTTTTAGTAAAACTAGATTAATTTGTAGTGGATTTCACTGTTTGTGAGCCTCCTTTCTTTCTCTGCTTCCCACATTACAATTGTGATCACGAGCCAGATGAAGTACTACGTCGAGGCAGTTAAATGTAGGGAAGTACAAGATACATGAGCAAAGCTCCACATTATAAAAATCACCATTTGTTTTTGTACTTTCTGATTTTGTCCTCTGGGGGGCGCTGTGGACATGTAACAGAAATCTAAAGTTAGAAGTGAATGCTTGTTTTTCTAAATTTTGCACCCACACTTCTTCCACGACTTTGTGTATATTTATTATTATTTCTGTTGTCAGTTTGTTGTATTTAGTAACTGTTTTCTTTATTTGTGGTTCAATTTGAAAACCAGAAATTATATTTAACAGCATAAACTTTTGTGTTGTTTATAACTAACTGACTGAGATATACAGAATGGATATCCGCCTTCAGATCATAATCATCTCACTATAACATAATGTAACCTTTTCTTTCACATAATCCATCAGTAGAGTACATGGCAGCAGAATCGATGTAAACCACAGTGCTGTGTCAAAGCCTTGAGCCACTCATCATTTCCTTATATTCCAAGTGTTCTTAAACAATAGTTCTCAAGGTCTTTCATAGTTTTTCTTTGAGCATTGAAGCTTTTTCACTCATTTTTAATGCAGTTCTTGTATCTTATTGTTTTCAGAGAAATGAAAGCTACTTAACACTGACCTACGAATCATTCAAGCATAAGACAACATCTATCTTCTTGCAGGATGAACCAGTACAGTATCAACACATAACAGACAACTTAGCAAAAGAATAAATATAATAAAACATGAATGATATCTTTGGGCACTTTGTTACTAGCAGTGTGTTGCAAAAGGTATCATTTGCTACCTTTTTTGTAGTTGATTCTATGAAAAATGCCATAAGATAGTTTGACAGATATAAAGTAGTATTTTTGCACCTACAAGGTGATTCTCAAAGAGCCTTTTGCTGAAAACTTAGCATGGTTTGCAGTGTTTTCTTTTTAAAAAATGAGGAAAGAGGACAAGTGAAGGACAAAAGAAGAAGTGGTGAATGTAAAAACTATCTACATCAGATGAACAGTATCTGAAAGTCATGAAGAATAAAGAAGCTCGTGGCTTCTATGGTGTATTTCAATTTATATTTTCACATTTCAATAAATCGCTGTTCCAATCTTCTGAGCAAAATGTAAAGAAATAAGAGGTAGCTCAAGACTTTTGTACGGTATTATAGTTATCTAAAAAAAAAAAAAAGTGAAATAAGGGATTGTGTATTGATGTGTTTCCTTTTTTATTTCTGCCTCTTCAGAGTCTGCTGTGGAAATTCAGGAGGACAGGAGGAAAGTCCCTTGGTCAGACAAAGAGACGATCATCCTTCTGGAGATCTGGGGAGACCCACAGGTAAAGCACAATGTCACAATCCATGCACTCCCCAAAAAATGTTTCGGAAATGTCCATAAATTTCCCGATAATCTCACTTCATTGCTGCTTCATTCCGTATTACTTCACTTTACTACTTTTACACGGAATCCTACCTTCCTTCAGGTCCAGCAGTGCCTTAGACGCTACCCACACAACGGTCACATTTTCACTGAAATTTCAGAGAAGCTTGCCGCTAACGGCTACTCCCGCAGCCCCGAGCAGTGCCACACGAGGATCAAACGCCTGAAGGGGAACTATCGCCAGTGTCGGGAAAACATGAGGTAAAAACTGCACGTCTGGAGTCCTGCACCGTTGGAGTGACTTTGTTTTAACGCACCTGTCTTTCTGCCTCTAGCTCATCTGGGACTGACAGAGTCGACTTTAAATTCTATGATCTGCTGGAACAAATTTTGGATAAGCAGCCATCAACGTCGTCTACCATGGTAACGGACTCCATCGAAATATCAGAAGACTCCAACAGTGAATCGGTAACAGAAAGAGGTAAAATTTCTGTCTTCTACCCACCCCCTCAATGTTAACTCAGAATGGAAGATTGTTTTAATGCTTTTTCATGCACCACAGCTCCGAACTTCTTAAGACCTATTCATATCTATTATGAATGGGCTTTAATTTGCCAAGTTCCTGGTACAAAGTCCATGCGATGTGAGAATCTTGCAGGCGAATGCCTTTTCGATACACTGCAAGTGAGTGTGAATCACGTCTCCTACCTCCTGCACACACAGATGACACCCTCGCCTTAGCGAAACATAAAATTTCCAGAAACCAGAGCTTGTCTGACACAGAGTATCTCCTCCTGCATGCTGCATGTGAGAAAGGAAAGGAAAGGAAAGCGTAAACACCTCATGCACCGCAGGCTCAGTTTTTGCACTGCAGGCTCCTTGTTCTCCACCTGTTTTCTCCTTTGTTTTCTCCAGACTGCATAGAACATAAGCCTGCTGAATTTGCACCCAAAAATCTCCATAAAAGCCTAAATACCTCTTGAGAATGAAATAAGCAACAAAAAAATTGCACAAAAATCACTTAAATACCGATTAGCATGCAGCCACTATCATCACAGAACCTTTGTGTTCAGTTTGTGTCGGAGTTTTTATTTTACACAGAACAAAACTGCTGGATTCACACAGGGGTAAGATCAATAACAACTTCTTCAATCCAATTAGTGTATAACAAATCACCAGAGGTCCCTATGTAATACTAGACCCATGCTAATTGGCCTTAAAAAATATTATTATGTAGTTAATAATTATGTAACTCATGGCTCAAGAGTTGGGAGTTCGCCTTGTAATCGGAAGGTTGCCGGTTCGAGCCCCGGCTTGGACAGTCTCGGTCGTTGTGTCCTTGGGCGAGACACTTCACCCGTTGCCTACTGGTGGTGGTCAGAGGGCCCGGTGGCGCCAGTGTCCGGCAGCCTCGCCTCTGTCAGTGCGCCCCAGGTTGGCTGTGGCTACAATGTAGCTTGCCATCACCAGTGTGTGAATGTGTGAGTGAATGGGTGGATGACTGGTTGTGTAAAGCGCTTTGGGGTCCTTAGGGACTAGTAAAGCGCAATACAAATACAGGCCATTTACTATTTACCATGTACTGTATGTGCGGACGATTATGTCGACTTTAGACTAAAGTGAAGTGAAAGTAAAAATGAATTCAACACATAAGTTAAAAAAGTATTCCTAATCCCATTTTTCCCATTTTTGGATGTTTTATACTCATGTTAAATTTCTGTGTCTCAATCACAAGACCCAGAAATCAACATGTCAGCCGAGAAGCCAGCAACCAGCTCTTGGACAGACGAGGAGACCCTGGTACTTGTCGATATCTGGGGCGAAGAAGATCTCCAGAAGGCCCTGAGGGGTTTCGTCCACAACGGCCACGTTTACGCAGACATTTCCGAAAGAATGCAGGACCTCGGTTTTTCGAAATCCTCGGAGCAGTGCCGCTGGAAGGTGAAGTCTCTGAGGAACAACTTTCGACAGTGCTACGAAAGGAAGAAGTGAGCTCAGTCTTTCCATCGGTTTACCTGTTTTCGTATCCCTCTCTGTGAGCGATGCCTCCGTAACTGCCGTTTTCGTTCTCGCTAGATCTGGAAGAAAAGTTGATTACAAGTTCTACAGCCAACTGGAACAAATACTGGGACAGGAGGCGGTTTCTCTTGATGAGTATGATGAAAGGGATGAACAAGAGGAGCAGGATTCAGGTACAGAACACGCGCTCTGCATTAGATTAAAAATCAGCCACAAGTCAGATATCTTACATGCGTGTCTACCTGCAACAGGTGCCGATGGTTTGAACACAACGTGGACAGAGCAGGAGACGGTTGCTCTCATCGAGGTGTGGGCCGCAGATGATGTGCAGCATGGCCTGAAAATATGCGTCCGCAACAGTCACATATTCGCCGAGATATCTGAGAAAATGGCCGCAATAGGCTACCTGAGGACAGCGGAGCAGTGCCACTCCCGGATTAAAAGGTTGAAGAAGACTTACAGGCGTTACTGCAACAGCCGCAGGTAAAAATAAACAACAATGCATGCTTTATGCTTTTTGAGATGATCCAGGTTCGAATGTTGTTGGCCAGCTGACCATGGATTTATGTTTCCCAGAAATGGAGGGCGGCCCACGGCGTTCCGATACTTCAACCTCCTTGCTCCGGTGCTTGGCGACGAGTCTATGTTTGCCCCTGTGGACAGTACCGATGCCACCTTACAACCTTTGATGGACAATGAGCCTGTCTTATGTGGGTTTACACAGCCAGTCAATAATACACAGGGTTACTGTGCGTATATGAACTAAACTGCCAAAGATGAACACAATAACAAAGGCGTTTCCTCGTTTTAGATGAGCAGCCCTCGACCAGCCGCCTCCTGGTCGACCTGAGCCGAAAGATGCCCTGGTCGGATCAGGAGACTCGCACACTGCTGGAGATCTGGGGTGAGGACAGCGTCCAGCTCACTCTGAAGGGCTGCCTGAAGAACCGACACGTGTTCGACTACATCTCAGAGAAGATGAACAACCAAGGATTTATAAGGACCTCGGAGCAGTGCTACACCCGCATTAAGCGTCTTAAATATGGCTTCCTCCATGAAAAGTCAGTAACGACGAGACTTTGATTCTCACTTATTCTAAACTTGTTTAGATGTTTATTGGTTTTAGTATTGCTTTTGCTTTTAAAATGTTTACATTTGACACGATCACGGGTGAAGGTCCATGTGAAGTCATGACAATCATCCCGAAGATCTCAAAAGATTTCAAGAAAGAACTTAACAGAGCATAAAGATGCTCGTTGTCGTTTACAGTAATTACCATAAAAACTGTAATTAGAGTTCTGGTTTTAACTGTGAGTTTGTTTTACAAATGTAGGGGAGAGTTTAAATTCTTCAATGAGATGGAAAAAATCTTCAGGAAGGAACTGAAAGTCGACAACGTGGCCGCAGACACGTCGGCTGCAGATGAGCCAGATGACTACATGCTCGAACTGGGCCCAAAAAAAGGTGTAACTATATGGAGTATGTCACAGTGTGTGTGTGTGTGTGCTTTGAAAGTGTTGATGAAGGAGTATAGAGAAGGTCACTGTTTCTTTGTGGAGCTAGAGAAACCATACGACTGGGTGCTGAGAGAAGTGTGGCAATGCATGAGAACAAAAATCTATGTTTCTTTTCTCACAGTCCCCTCAGGTAACCAGTGGGTGCCCGACAGCACTAAGCTGCCCTGGAGCGACGGAGAGACCGAGGCCCTACTGGACATTTGGGGGAGCGAGGAGATCCAGGAGAACTTAAAGGGCAGCGCCAAAAACAAACAGATCTTCCTCCAGATCTCTCAGGTCATGACCAGCCAGGGCTACCTGCGCACTCCTGAACAATGTCAGTCCAGGATAAAGAGGCTGAGGGCTAATTTCAGGCACTTCCTAGAAGGCAGAAAGTAAGCTCAGCAGTTCATTGTTGAGAGGTTACAGGGCACCGTGAGGTGGTGGGATCATCCATAATGTAAACGTGTTTTTGTCTTCTGAGCATATTCACACCTCAGAGTTATCAGATTGTTGCTTTTTGTCTTCTCATCAGTCCTGATGTTCTGTGTCGTGTTTTCAGAGGAGAGAAACAAGAATGCAAGTTTTTTGAGAAGCTGGTGCAGATATTTGGCAACAAGTACATAATAAACTCAGACCCACTGGCTGACGATACAGCTGAAGTCATAGGTAAGTCTGACAAAGGCATCTGTTATCTGTTTAAACTTCATTATTGTTTTTGCTTTTATAAATCTAGATGTTGCACAGATATTGCTTCATTGATCAATAAAGGACTTGGTCCATAAGTATTGAGATAGTGAGGCAGTGTTTGTAGTTTTGCCTCTGTATTACCACCACAGTGCAATTTAAGCGAAATAATAAAGACGTCTATGAGGTTCAAACTTTAACTGTCACCTGTTTTCAGAGGCTCAAAATGAATTAAATGAAATTAACATAATTTTAAATATGAGGATTTCTTTTTCCTTTGCAGTCAGTGAGTCTCTGAAATCTCAGAGACCTCACCAAAGGCTGCCTCCCAGGCCTTGTTTATGGGTCTCTCTCTGCCTTCAGTCAATGCACCAGAATTTTGATTTGGGCACTCCTGAATCTTCTCCCCTGTCTCTCTCTGATCGGTTTATTTTACTTTGGCTTCCTTCACTTTTACTTACAACTTTGGACCTCACTAAGAGTTCCAGTAAATAGTTACCAAATGAAGATTCAACACATGGAAGCGACTCCAGATCTTTTATCTTCTTGGTTTTTAACAAAGCAATGAAGAAACAAGGTTCACCTCCTTGTCGGCTGCTTGTTCGATTATTGTTAGGCCTCTGTGCATGAATATGGCTACATCTTCTAAAGAGTTGATGAAATCTTTTTGTAAAACCCAAGGAATTAAAGCTGAAGGTCTGCACATCAATCACATCCTGATTTATTTAAAATCCACTCCGGTAGTGTGCAGAGGCAAAACTACAAAAACTGTGTCTTTGTCCAAAAACGTTTGATCCTAACTGTAGCTCCACATTTTGAGAAAAGTGTTCATTCATGAATTTACTAAATATAAGATCAACAGCATTATTGTAGTGCAGGACTGCCAACGTCACCTGTTCCCAGTCTCCTCTGGCTGTGTTTAACTACTTAACTCATGAACATGAGAATAATAAGAGCGTTAGTGAGTTAATTTAAAACAGTACACAGAGGATTTACTTCTTAGAGCAGCAAACCAGCTCATTGACACGTTCTTCTTTTGGAAACTTGTTAACTGGGATATTTGTCAGCCTCAGTTTAATATCTAAAATGTTCCTCTCTGATCCAGAGGCATGAAATCATCCACGGTGAAGATGACGCAGCAGCAGCAGAAGGACAAAGAGGAACATCCAGAGCAAGAACAAGAAACCGATCTTTACTGCTGTGTTGTTTACATGACAAAAGAGGGTCTGTCCTGTCTCACTCAAATGTACATTTCCCTCTGTTACCTTCTGCAGACACAAAGACCTACTTCAGGTAGCAATTCAGTGTGTGTGTGTGTGTGTGTGTGTGTGTGTGTCCCTCAGCTTGAGTGTCTTATTATTTAACATAG